AATCTCTAATGGTGACTGCATGGGGCCCTTCCAGTGTAGTCTGAAATATGATGAAAGGGGACAAAAGGAGGCCATGTTAATGGTCATAGGGGGAGGGGAGGAAGGCTCTACCTGGGCTGATCAGCCTCGCTATCTATAATTACAGCCCAGTGCTTAACATACCTGGATTTTTACTATCCCCCCCCCCCCCTCCCCCTCCCCCTCCTGCCCCGGCCACAGCTAATCATTGTGTGAGCTCCCTGCAGCTTGAATATTATTGACTGAAATGGCGTTAAAAACACTTCATAACTCAGCTCAGGCCTTGGGGGGAAATAGCGTTAAGGGGGCGGCAAGACGGCCAACATGAAAAATCTTGGTCTCTGTTTTGCTTTGCCTCATTACCATATTGTTTCTGTTACATTGCCCATCCCTTGAGGTAATTCCAAATGCGATTTGTAGAGCACAAATACAGCTACATGCTTTCTCGCTGTCATCGTGTGGAGATGGAGAGGCTTCACTGCAGCGGATGCATTATTAAAAGCCTGGCCTTATTGTGTTGTTTTCCTCTACATAGACTATACTGCTCCAGGCCACGTTTCTGGGTGACCCCGTTTGGCTCTGCTGCAGGACATGCAGTCTATGAAATGGTATGGGGTGAAAAATTGGGGGGGGGGGCTAAAATTAGGGGTAAGAAAAAAGGGGGGGGGGGGGCGATCCTAGAAGATGAAAGAAGAGATGGTAGGATCAAGGTCAGTGCAGGTCTAAAGCCCTGTGTCTGCATGGAGGGCAGGGTGTCGCCTGCAGCTGCTGTGGCCTCTTGACCTGCTGGGGGAATAGATGAGGCTGCTCCCAGCTTTTTTTTTTTTACTACACATTTACTGATCCACTGTTTCAGTGCAAAATAATCCACAGTGTAAGCTCCTTATCTACAGCACAAGAGCAGATTATTCGCAATATGTCCTGAGACCAGTCCCCGAACTAAATAAGACATTTTTTTTCTCCACCATTACATGGAATAAAAATCATCTTAAAGGCACGTGTTGTGTAAAAGTTCTGCATCACAAGCATCAAAATGTCAATATGTGATTATTTTCTCTATTAATTGTTTGGTCAATGAAACATCAGCAAAAATAAATAGTAATAGTAAAATAATATATATACATAATATATATATATCAAGAATCCCAGAGTGCTGGTTTTGTCCACCCCCCTAAAAAATTACTTAAATAATTGATACATTTTCAAAATATTTGCAAATTGGTTTTCTGTTGCTGAGTTTATCAATTCATTGACTAACTGTTTTAGATCAACACATGTTATTGTAGCAGTACAGCTCTATGGATTTCGACTGTGATTGAAAAGGAAAGAAATATCGGTAAATAGACCTGAATTATCGGTGGTAAGAGAAAGAAAACACGTGATTAGTGCATATTTGTAGGCTGTTGTATTTGGACATGAGTGTGTGTTTGTGTGTGTGTGTGTGTGTGTGTGTGTGTGTGTGTGTGTGTGTGTGTTTCTTGAGTGCATTCTTAAAATCCACGTGTCTCAGCCATGGCCTTATTTAACTTCTCTGGCATACAAATATGACTCCAACGACAATTCCCAGAATGCCCCTGAAGGGAAAGACGCTGTGACGTTACACGCAAGCGAAATGACTCCTGGATATTGTAGTTTATGAATAAACATTGCTTTCTCTTTTGACAATATCAAAGAACGTACTAGTGTTAAAAACCTTCATCGCTTAACGAATCTCTCTTTTCAAATGAATCTACTGTAAAAATCACTGAGAAATGTCATATCTTTTAAATGATAGACGGAAAAAAACAGCTCGAGAAACTACATTTCCCACGCGCCCCCAGGATGTTGCGCATCCGCGCTGCGCAGTGGTACCTGAGCGTGTGGAGTGTAGTCACGTGGAGAGTCCACCTCAGTTCTGTCCAAACAGAACGTGAGCGTTTAGCAGTCTGTCTGTTAGAGCGCCGGACGGTGCTAAACTGATCCATGTTGTTTTTTTAGCCACGCGTCCCTTTAAACTAGCCCATTTTTTATCGAAGAATGAGTGACAACGATGATATCGAAGTCGATAGTGACGTGAGTATGGCCACTTTTAGCTTTTTACGGATGTTATGTAGCTAGCTGGCGATGTAGCTGAACTAGCTCAGCTAGCGTTAGCTCCCAGTAAGCCTGCTAGCTCCTCTGTCTTCATAAGTGTGTTTTTTATCGGGCTTCTTGTTAACTGAAACGCAACACTAGCCTTTCTCGCCTCAGAGCGTTATTATAAACCTGTTAAATTGAACTTTCTAGTGACTTCATCGAGGCAGTGAGATTTGCTGGACAAATGTGGCTACAATTGTACTTTTTGTTCTGTTTCTTTGCAGGAAGACTCACCGAGATATCACTGTGTGGTGCGTAATGCTGGGGGATTCTTTTTTTCTTCCAATCTTGAGAACTGTTTCACTGTTGTTGTAAAGTTGATTTATCCATCACATTCTGCTCATTTTGTCCGGTATTTAATCGACCGATAATGCTATTCTGTGGAGGTTGATGTCGCTCAAACGTACTTCTTTCTGCCTTGTGGCACAACTACATTTTTTTAAATTAATATCCGTGCACGTAATCTTCTGTGGCATTGAACTACAGTGCATTTATATAATTACGTGTAGCGATTGTTCCTCGGTAGTGCATTGCAGGGTGTCCCCCATCCTGCCTGTCCGCGGCCAAAGGGAGACGGCGACACGACGTCTATATTTAGACCGAGGCTTTATCCCGCTACAACGCCTTTATTGTTGCATGTTTATTATTTCCCTGCTATATTACAAATCTCTCTGTGAGCGGTGGCAGTCGGTTAGTCTCTCCGAGTCGTTTCCCTCCGCGGTGCTTCACCTCACACTACGGGGGGGGGGGCAGTCCGCTCGTGATCGTTTTTTTTTTTTTTTTTTTTTTTTTTTTTGCAAATTACACATCTAGGTCATCTCCGTAAAGAGAGACCGTTTTGCATCCGTGCCGCATTCACGATGAGGGTGACGATGAAGAGAGGGACGAGCCTCAGTGTCAGGAAGGAGGTGCTGCGGGATGTTTTCCTGTGTTGCAGCCAGTGATTAGAGCCATCTTCTCTCTACAGGCCCACTAAAGGGCTGGCAGCCTAAATGAATGACGTATAGCTGCATCGAACACCGGCGCGAGAGGAAAAAAACACCTCCACCACCACCACCACCCTGCTGCACGACTCCACTGATGCACACAACACGACGATTTACCTCCAGTCAGATTACCAGCATTAGAGTGCAGAAAGGCATTCAGGGATCAATAGGATTACATTTTAGATTAGAATATACATTGGCGATATTAAGATAGAAATATTTTTTTTTTCTACTGCAGGTGATCGTGGTTGCTTTTGCGTCATCACGGAGCCACTTGAGGAACTCTAAACCTGATTTCAGTTCACTTAGTATCATTACAGAAGCTATAAAATATGTATGTCCTGATGGCTGTTTGTGTCACTCGGACTCAGACAGTTGCCTCCATCGCTGCATGTCTCGTGTAAGAGCTTTTTAATCTGTAGGTATATAAATAGAGCTGAATTATTTGGGGAAATATTTAATAGCTTCAAAGGCGGCCAGCTTAAACTTTCACTTGCTACAGCTTGTTAAGACACCGTTAAATCGGCTGTGTGCGGTATAATTTTAATTTTAGCTCTTTCAATTTCAAAATGGCACTTTTTTAAAATTTGCGATTTCGATAATAAATGATGCATCATTGAGCCACGCATTGAAATAAAGTCTGTGAGCACTAACGGTGTGGCAGATATTGAATATGTTTCCTACACGGTGTGTGTGAGATAAGATACCGACAGTCTGCTTTATGTCCTGTAAAGCTAAAGCATGAAGTCGACTGACAGAAAATGAACCGGCAACCATTTAAATAATCGTTTAAATACAAAACCGTCTACAATTCACGGGTTTACATTCTCAAATGTTGACATTGCTGCAAGTTGAATATCCTGAGGCTTCCTAACTGTTGGTTGAACAAAACAAGATTTAAATATGTCCCCGTGGATTCTCAGGACTTGCGGTGGACATTTTACACTATTAGCCGACATTTTATCGACTAAAGTATTAAAATAATCGAATCAAAAATGAAACCAGCCGTTGTTGCAGCTCTATTTGGAGTCTAGCTTCACAGAACATGCTGTTGGTTTTATGCAGTGGTGTCATTCGCCCCCGCTTTATTGGTGTTTACCACGTTTTTTTAGTGAAGGGAGGTTTTCCACGTTCTCCACCCGGCTTTTATGCAGATCATGTGAGACGGGCATCAGTACCCAGGAAGCTCCGCCACCCGGAGCAGTTATGTAAAGTGTCGTGGTCAGGTATGGATAGAACGGAGGGAGCCGCTCAGCTGGCGTGTCCTCTCAGGCAGCCGGCTAAAGCTATCGGTTTTATGATGGCTGATATTGGGTGCTCTTAGGTAATTGGACACCTGTTTTTCGTGCTGCCTGATGTGCTTAACAACTCCTGTAGTTTATACCAGGTAGCTAAGAAGGCACCCCGCAACATGTAGTACAATTACCCAGAGTTATGAAGGTAATTTGATATCAGTGAACCTGTTTGTTCTTCATCCTAAAGTGAGATGCTCATAAACCTCTCATGCAATGAAACAGAAGCTACATCAGTCTGGAATATGTGTGTACGGTTTGAAGTAGTTCAGAAGTGAAGTTAGGTGACATGCGTCTATAAACCGTTGCTTCTCAGCGTGTATTTATTCTGATATATTTCTTTAATATAATGAAGTTCCTCCTGTCTGGTTAGTACATTTGTCCATCAGAGAATGTAGCCTATGTATTGATATTTTGGTGTATAATTAAATATACCACGATTAAGCATTTTATGCATATAACCCATTTTTTAAGGAGGTGATAATCCGCCCAGATCCGGATGCATCTAGTCTTGTAATCCATTCGGTCTTAGATGACGGCCTACATGACAGCCACACCTATCACACACACGTACGTGTGTGTCATCTGCTGTGTGAACCCTCGTCCATGAACATCTCAGGAAACACTGCGTCAAGAATAGTTGAATTCTGTAAAAAAAAAAGAACATTTAAAATGGCAAGTGGCTGTCACTTAGTAGAACATTTTTATTCTAGATTATTGGGTGATTCACCGAGAAAATATTCAAAGAAGTGATATTCAGAAGAAGTCTGTTAGGTGTTCACGTTAAATCACCCGGGGCACTTAATGTCCATGACTGCAAAGTAATTGCACACAGAGCAGCTCCAGAGGGGAGTGCTTAAATACTTGGATTCTTGGATCTTAATTACGAAGATTAATGATATAAAGTGCCGCGCTCGATGTAAGAAGTGTGTTTTAAGAGTCAAAACAAGTCTTAGTTTTCAGCTGATCAAATGCGTCTTTAGTGTTTTGTGTGTGTGTGTGTGTCACAGAATGTGATCAACACTACTTTAGAATGTACTGCTGGAAGCAAAGTCTGAAGTGTATTCTGTATATTATTATACTTTAGTGTCTTCAGTTCTTTCAGAAATCGGCCACATGGTCTTTCTAACCCTTAAAGTGACACTACGCACATCACAATGGCAGCCAGACTTGTAATTGCACATGCCATCAATACCAGTCATGTGTTTGTTTGTGCCGGGGTTAATGGAGGGAGTGGAGCCTCGTTCTCTCTGGCTTTGTGTATGATAGGAGGAGGAGGAGGAAGCACGTGGTTCTAGTGGACTGGTCTCTCCTGGATGGGTTGTGGCTCTTGAGCCTCATGAGCAGCTGTCACCATGCCAGCCCGACTAATCACAAGCCGGGAGTTGTCAGTTACATGCAGGGAATTTTGATAACCCTGTTTTTTTACTACGGTTTCAGTTTCAGATGCGTGTCATCTAGTCTGATAGTTGGTTTTCTGGCATTAATTTGCTAAACAGGAGCTTGTATTTGTTCCAGATGTTTGGTAGCTGAGTCACATGTAACACGCCGGCCTTCCCACCAAACACATGACACACTGGGGGCTTGTCTCAACCTGCGTGTTGTCTCACTTTGTTGCGACTTTGTTTTTTTTGCTGTTGTGATCGTTGGACTAAAGGAGTCGGATGACGCCAGGTCATGTGACTTCTCCTGTGTCGTGACCACACCACCGTGCCGTTTCATTGCTGGTATTAAAAATTGGGCCTCCTTTTGTTGGCGTACGAAGCGAGATGATCGGTCGCGCTTGTGCCGGCTTTGATTGGGCGTCGGCACTTGATGTCTCTCCGCCTGGTGACGGCGTGGATTAGGCCAGAGTCAGACGTGATTGGAGGCCGCGATGGTTTGGCCTAAAAACAGGTCGAACGACAGGCAGCAAACTGATCTGCCGGCTGCCTCTGGTCATGTGATCACGGCAGCCATCTTATGCCTTTACAGTCTAATTACAATACAAATGTGTGGTGGAAATGTTGTCCTGTGAGGCGCTGTTATATGAGCCTCTGCGTGTTAATTGGGGATGTTTAAAATGAGGATGAGCTTATTTAACTTGGACGTGAAAAAATGTGGTTTGACGTGAAACAGCCTGAAATGATATATGATTAATTTGGCTGTGGTAATATGATTAAAGCGCTGTAATGTAGAGAGCATACTGGAGAATCCTGCACATCAACTAAGATCTTCTTCTTAGGAGCCTTTAATCTTGGACTACAAAACTACGACTGTTTAAATCCTTCGGTGTAGTCTTTCAGGATGTGCTGTTCTCGTCCGCCCACCTTCTCACCCCTTCTAATGACTCGAGTGTCTTGACCCTGGCCCGGACATGAATCTGAACGGCCACTCTTGTGAGCTCCTGCAGAGAAGGAGGGACAGAAATGCAGTGGGGGGGTCAAATAGAAGGAGGGGGGTGGAGGCTCAGGAGGGGGTAACAGAATACAAAAAGGCAACAGAATACAGCAACTTGTTGTGATGAAAGTTGAGTGATATTTGATGCACATACAGTCGGGCCAAGGAGCATGTGATCAGTTTGTGGATTTTGGTTTTCCCGTGAACTCTTGCGCTTAACGTGAATAAAAAAATATGGTGGCAATTACACAATTGTGTCATTACATGTATTTTGAACCAGATGTGAGATTGTTGGATTAATCTCAATATTTCATTGTTGTCGTGTGCAGTCTTGTTGGAGAGAACAGATCATTTGCCAGCTAGTTTCTGAAACTTTAGGTTTCCTCCTTTGTCAGTTTTCAATCAATCTGTTTTTTTTTAATGAGACAATTCAAAAACGACTGATAACATAAAATATACGGCAGGTCCGTTCGTTGACCTCTTCCGCTAACATCCTCTGAAGACGTTGATTCATCAATAATCTGCATCGTCTTGGTGAATTGAGACCCTTCTGCTGCTGTAACGGTGCAGTTTATGAATTAGTTTTTTTAAATTTCAATTGTAATCTATTTACTGATGACAACCAGCAGGTAGTTATTTCCCCTCTGTTGTGTAGTGGACTGTGAGGTCTCCACCAAATAACAGCATCCAGCAACTACTAACACAAGAACTCGTGTTATTAGTGTTTTAAGGCTTCAAAACTTCAATCTCAACATTAATGTAAAAATATAAGGCAACCAAGAGTCATTACATTAAGGATGAGCGTTTGTTTATGATAAACTAGAATAAATTAGGGTTAGATCGGTATGTTCTCCCGTCGTGTGTCGTCGTAAATTGTCTTTTTTCTGATAGTAAATATAAAATCTTTGGGTTTTTGGACTGATGGTCGGACAGAACGAGCAATTATAAAGATGTCACTTTGGGGTTCAGACATTCCTCAGTATTTCTGTTGGATTAAGCAATTCATCAAGAAAAATAATCTGCAGATTAATCAGTAATGCAAATGACCCGTAGCTGGGTCCCTGATGACATCTTTTGTGACGTTTGCCTCCGACACCGAGTGAAAACTACAAAGCCAGTTGTTGTTGTTGTGGCAGCAGAGCCGTTTGTGTAGGTGGACCTGTGACACCCCCGCTGTCCTCTACCCACACTGCTCTGCTGTCCGTCTAAAGGCCGTGTGGCTCTTGTCATTGCAGGCAGACAAACGGGCACACCACAATGCCCTGGAGCGCAAACGTAGGGACCACATCAAAGACAGCTTTCACAGCCTCCGGGACTCTGTCCCCGCCCTGCAGGGAGAGAAGGTCGGTAAAGCTCAGCCTGCCAGTCCTCCAGGCACACGATGTTCCGGCTCTCATGTAAGGAAACTTTGAACTTTTGACACGTTTTAGTAAATGGTGAAGTCCTGTTGTTGTTGTGAACTGTACTGCAAATGTTGTGCACGGATGAGTGCATTTCTGTCGCAATGCCATTTTAATGTTTTTTTCCCTTGTTGGATTAATACAGAGATGCAGATGTCTTTAGTCTTTACTTCCTTCATTGTGTGTGTGTGTGTGTGTGTGTGTGTGTGTGTGTGTGTGTGTGTGT